AAATATTAAAAAAATTTTTTTTTTTTTTTTTTTTTTTTTGTTACATGCAAGTTGTGCACAATATTTTTTTCTATTCAAAAAGATATATGAATTAGTAAAATATTTAAATAAAAAAAAAAAAGAAAAAAAGACATAAAATTATAGTTATTTATTTTATTTTAAATTGATATGCTTAAGCTATATAATATATTTATATATTTTTAACTATATTAAATTAAAATGTTAGATGTAAATGTATATAATTTATGAAAACAATTAGAAATTAACAAAGTAAATAATGGACTAAATATATATATATTTTTAAATAAAACACCTACATTTCCTTTTAAGAATTTTTACCCTTTTGGCCTTTTTACTATTTCTTATTTTTTTTTTTGATATTATTATTATGTTCTTATTTATATAACCATAAAGTCAATTTTAGATCATATTTTCATAAATATTTAAGAACTGATAAATATTAAGATATATATAATGTAGTAATTTTTATAATAAATAGTATCTATTTACAACACAATTTTTTATTTAAATAATAAAAAAAATATTACATAATTAAAACAATTTTCATTTTTTTGATTTTTTCATTTTTGTAGTATTATAAATATTATTCTTTTTTTCTAAAATCATATATGCTTTCCTTTTTTGAAACTTTTAATCTTAATATTTATATTTTAAAAATATATAATATAAAAATTATAAAACTTCCTTTTTATATGGATTATGTGTGCCATAAATTTAATATTTTATTAAATTTTAAATAAAAGATATACCAAGAAAAAAAAAAAAAAAAATTTCCCTTAAAAAATAAAATTAAAATAACTGTTTATACTTAAGGTGTTCCAATTTTGTTAATTACAATAGTTAAAAAAAAAAAAAAGGTATGTTTAAGGAATGTACTTTCTGTTATAAATTTTTCGTATTTTTGACCTATTTTAACAAATATATTTATTTTAATTTATTATAAAATCATGATATATTAAAAGGATTGAGTTAATTTAAACAAATAGTTTTTAAGAATTTTAAAAAAATTTTTTACGTAATAAATAAAATAGGACGTAAACTTCAAAATTTTTATACTTTTGTTTTAATAAAAAATTTGCAAATACTTCTTACATTTTGGATGACTGATACTAATTATACATTTTTATTTTTTCTTAATAGGTGTGGTTAATTTATTTTGGTTTGTTTATTAACAAAATTTTTTTCCTTAATATCAACCAGACCTTTGAATGATATCTTGTATAAGCTACTTTTTTCTACGAAATTAAAAATTCTCATTTTTTCTCCTTTTTGAATTATCTTTTCATATTGATACAATTATTAAAGATTTATATAAATAATGGCTTTCTTTTTTTATTTATAAAATGAATAAAATAAAAATATACATAATTTAAGAAAATTTTAAAAAGATGTGTTTACACATTTAATAGATAATTAGAATTAAAAAAAAAAAAAAAAAAAATGAATAATAAATGTCAAAAGAAAAAAAAATATTATTCTTAAAAACTTGGAAATTGTATATAATATATTTTTTTAAATTATATCATTAAATAAATTAAGAAAATTAAGTATATGAAAAGAATAGATCTAAAAGTAGTAAAAATTATTAATTATAATAAAATAAAAATTTATGCATGCAAGTATTATTAAACATAATTTTACTCATTTTAATGTCTAATATTTTGGCGTTAATCTGTTTATTCTTCTTTTTTTTTCTCCTTATAATAAATTTTAAGTTTATCTCATAAAGTTTTTAACTTTACAATTTAAAAAAAAAAAAATAATAAATAAATAAAATGAAATAAAATAAAGTAAAAAAATATCATATAAAATAAAAATAATTTATAAAAAATGAAAATACAACATTATTAAAATTTTGTAATTTATTATAGTTTATATACTGGTACTAATAATTGAACAGTAACATAAATAATTACATTTACATTTTATAAAAATTATTTCTTGTTTTTAATATTTACCATTAAATTATGAAAAGGAAAAGAAAAGGCTTTGTAATGCGCCAAAAAAAAAAAAAAAAAAAAAAAAAAAAAAAATCAACATGATGTAATAGCCATTATTTTTATGATTATAACTTTTTTATAATTTTCCATAATTTAAATGAAAATGGATTTGTGTTATTTTTTCTGTAGTATATATATTATAATTATCGTAATATTTATGGATAAATGTGTTTTAATGAATACTCATAAGAAAGAAAACAATTTTTTTATAACTAAATTTTATAATAATAAATTATCAAAAATATTTCACAAAGAAGACTATCACTTTTTTCGTTTAGTATTTATAAAGTTTCTCAAGAAAGTTAAATTTTTAAATAAATATAACACATTAGATAATGTGGTTAAAATACTTGAGAAAATAAAGTTTGGAGTAAATCAAAAAAATGATCACATATATATGACAATATATGAAGAACTTAAAAATATATCACTAAAACAATATGTAGACTTATATGAACAAAATAAAATAGATACAGAAATGGAAAAACTAACAATAAATAGCATGCATAAAAAAACAATATTGTCTCTAATTCCTTTTCAAGAGAATCAGATTTTTAATTCTAATGAGAGTCATAAAAAAGCTCATATAATGTTAGATATATTATATATATCAATAATAGCAAGTTATCAATCGATAGATGATGAAACGAAAAAAAATATGTTAATACTATTGTATCAAAACACATTAAATCAATGGATGAGTTTAAATTTTTTAAGAAAAATAATGAAATATAAACTATCCTTAAATAAAGATAAAATATTATTACATGTATTGTTAAAAAGAAAAAATGATGTAGAATCAACAAGTGAAGAAGAAATAAAGAATATTGAAATGAAACTTAAAAATATATTGAATGATTTTATATATAAATTATATCCTACATATCTAGGTAATGGAGACTCAGCTTATATAATTAATAATATAACAAAAGTATATATACCAGAATTAAAAATTATAGGTTACCAAACAAAAAATGAATATAAATTATATAATTTTGAAAATAACAAAAACCATAATTTTTTTTCCAATTATTTAAAAGTAAATGAAGACAAAAAAAAAATAATTATTCAAATATTATTATCTTATTCTCAAGTAAATGAAAATAAATTACAAGATATGTATGATATTTATTTTACTATAGAATATGTTTACAATATTTTAATAGATTATTTTCATTATAACGATAATTTTTTATCATATGAAGATTCATCTTTTTATTCATCCAAATATATATTTGGTGATGAAAAAAATAATAAATTAGAGGAAGAAGAAAAAAAATATGAAGATTTATCATTACATATGTTTTTAAAAATTAATAAAAAAGTAAGATTTACTTTTAGTTCAGTACAAAAAGCTCTTTTAAAAAATACAAAGAATATTAGTTATTTATACAATATTCACTTTTATGGTGCTTGTGTAAAATATAAGAGTACAGATATGATAAAATTTATTGGACACTTTGGTGAAGGTATTGATAACAATTTAATTAATAACGTTATTATAAAAATGAAGCCAAATGAAATAATTGCACATATAAAAATATATTCAAAAAAAAAAAAAAAAGATGATTTATATTATGTATCTACAAAAGAAATAAAAAGTCAACTAAATAATTCAAATTATTTTAATGTCTTATATTATTTAGTCGATAGTACAAGAGAAATCCCTAAGCCTGTAAACTGCAAAACTTGCAGATATCAAAAATATCATTATATAACACTTTTAATTGCTGCATTTGTTCCTTCTTTAATTATTTTTATAATATTTTATATTATTTATTATTTTAAAATAACAAAAATTAAAAGTTCTAGAAATACCTGTCTGAAGCATTTTTCTCAAATGTACCCTCGTTTATTTTATGTTAAAACAAATTCAAATCATTATATAAGATTAAGCAAAAAATACAGAAAAAAGTATTCCAGTTCTAGGAATGCAAAATCTGTTTTAAAAAACGGATTTAAAAATAACTATAATACTAATTACAATAAAAAGTTTTCTAAAAGCTTATCCAGTAGGATAAGTGTCTTCTCTTGACTATAAATAATTTAAAAATATTGCAACTGTATGTATGCTTCTCACATAATAAATTAAAAATAAATTTAGAAAAAGAAGATGTCTTTAAATATTTTTAGAAAAATAATTTTTTAAAGTGAAATTGCTTAGATCAAGCCTGAAGGCAATTAAATATGTTGTAACATAGACAAAAAAAAAAAAAAAAAATATATATTTTTACGCCTTTTGAAAGGGATAAGATATATAAAATAAAAGAAAAATAAAACATTCATTAAAATAAAAGCATAAATAAGAATTACTTTAAAAATGCATATTTTTTTATTAAAATATATAATTTTTTCTTTAAAATTATTTAATATAGTAAATAAAAATAAATTCTTAGTAGTGTCACATATAGAAAAAGAATAAGAAATAATTTTAAAATAATACATTTTTATATATATTTTTTCATTTATATAAAGAAAATTTAAAAAAAGTATTGTATTAAAAGTGATTTTCTTATTATAATGCATTAAAATTAACAAATATATTTTTAGATATGTTAATTTTATTTTACTTGAGCTATTTATAAAATCTAAATGTTATTGATTCTAAAGTAAAATGTATATATATAAATTTTGACAGAAATAGATGCACCTTTTAGTATTTATTTTGTTTTAGATCTTTTACTATTAAAGAACTATCCTTTTAAAATAAAAGAATTATTAAATCATTAAATTTATACATTTATTTTTATGAATATTTTTAATTTTAATATTTTTTTTTTGTTTCATTTATTTTATCATTTTTGTTTTTTATTATTTAAATTTTTTTTTCTTCTTTAATTATTTTTCGCTTAATTTTAAAATTATAATTATTTTAAGAAATTTAGTTATATTTAACATTCTTTTAAAATTTTCAATTTTTTTATTAAATTTAAAATAAAATAAATTTAATTTGTTTAATATTTCAAAATTAAATCAAAATTTTTATAATTATTTATATTAGTATATAATTATTAATATATTATTTTTTTTTTTTTTATTTTTTTAAGTTTTAATAGGAAAAAATTTTCCATTATTTGACATGACAAAATTTTGGCATTAAAATAGAAATTTCTCTTATGCCAACAAAAAAAAAAAAAAAAAAAAAACATAGGTGTACTTTTTTTTTTTTTTTTTTAATAATTTATAGTATAAATTTTTTGCGTAATTTTAAAATGAGGTAATTATATTTTTATAATTTTTTTTTATCATAATTTACTTTTTTAATTTTTATTATGAACAAAAAATATAGACATTATATTTTTTTTAAAAAAATATATGGTAATTATACATTTCTTAAAAGATGAATTCATATTTACATAACAATAATAATAGTATTAACCTTTAATAAAATATAAAAAGCAATAAATGCGTACTTTTCATATTAATATATAATTAAAATAGTGAATAAACAGGTTTATTTGATATACATATGCTAACAGTAATTTAGAAATAACTTTTTCTATATTTAACAAACTTTTTATTTCGTTCATTATTAAAAAATATCATTTTTTATGTTTTTTTTTTTTTTTTTTTTTTTTTTTTCCCCTTCTACATTTATTTAGTTTAGAATTTATATTATTAATATTTGTAGAATACTTAAAAAGTTATTGAGACATTGAATTTTAAATAGAATTACTAAAATTTTGATGTGAATTTTTCTGTATCTATAGTTATATTTTCTTTTCCTATATCCTTTTATATTTTTACATTTATATTTTTATTCTTTTTAAACAATATAAATTTATCAATATTTATTTTTACTTTTCCCTTTTTTTTATAATTTATTTATATTTTTTATGTTATTTGCACATTTTCTTTTTCTTCTTACACTTTTTTATTTGAATTTAAAAAAATCCTTGTGTTTATATAGAAATTTGATGAAGATAAAATTGTGTTGAGTTAAAAAAAATATATTAGTAACTTTGTGATTTTCTTTAATAATCATAGAAGCATGTGATTGTTTTGCAAAATATATATTTTTTTAATTTAAAAAATAAATATTTGTTTAAATATTTTTTTTAATAAATATAATTTATATATATATATATACATATTTATATATAATAGAAGATAAAAAAAAATAATGAACAGGCATAAGTAACTTAAAATTATGTTAGGAGGAAAATATTTAAATTTAAGACTTTTTAGTGAAAAAAAAAATTCCCTTACAAGTAATAATTCAGAAAATGCATTAAACAGCAATTTACAAAATGAAAACAAATTAGAAAATAATGATGAAAAAACAAAAAATTATAGAGATAAAAGAATTATACATGAAGGATGGTTAAATAAATGGACAAACATTATTGGTAGTTATAGGCCTAGATATTTCGTTTTAGAAAATGGAATTTTAAGATATTCTATAGACAAATATTCACCAACTAAAGAAACTTTTGTTTTATCTCACTGTAAAATTCGGGTATGCCCTGATGACCCATTACATTTTGAAATTGAAACAAGTGAACAAGGAATTTTATATTTGAAGACAGATTTACCAGAGCAAAAACATAAATGGTACATTTCATTTAAAAAAGCGCAGTTAAATTATTTGCATGGAAGTTATAAAAAAGGATTCATGGATGTTAATAATTTTAATAATAGCATGTCAAAAAATTCTTCATTTTTAACGAACATTATAAAAAATACAAATGATTTCGATAAGAATAAAATTAACAACATAATTGGTGACTTAATGCAAAATAATGGCATACAGAAGGTTGAAAATTTTGATAAAGAATCGTCAGAATATGCATTTGATTATTCTGAGAGTAATTTTAAAACAAATGATGCTAAAAAAATAAACTTAGATGAATTATTTATATGTAGTACTGATTTTGAAGATAAAAGCCCAACTTTATGCTTAATGGAAAATATTGTATCTTTAAAACAAATAACAAGAGATATAATAAAAAATTCTGAATATAATCAATCTAAATCAATTTTAAATAAAATGAAATTATCTAATCCTAACAAAATAAGTATTAATTATATAAGTTCACTGCTATCTCAATTGACAAACTCCATAGAATGTATTGATACAGTAATAGAAAAGTATATTAATTGTACTGAAATGCTACTTAAAGAGGAAAATATTCAATCAAAGTGTATGAATAAGTCATTAAAACTATTAGCGAAGCAAAATTACTTTCTTGAAAAATCTCAAGAAAAGAAAATACTTGGTGATTTAGACATAAAAGTAAAAAATAAATTAGAAAAATTAAATATTTATGAAAGTGATCAAGAAAGTGAAGATTTGTTTTTTGATTGCGATGAAACATTTTCTGATAAAAATATTCAATCAAGTGTCTCTATTGAAAATGATTCTTCAAGAAGCTCAACTAGTATAGGAGATACTGAAGAGAATGTAAAAAAAAATACAATAAATAAAAAGAAAAAAAATGAAAAAAAATTAATTGCTTTAAAAAGTAATAAAAATAGAAACGTAAAAAGTAAATTGGAATCAAAAAGTAATTCTGTGAATAATGAATTTGGATATAAAAAAAAAATAAATGCTCATGAAAGTTTCGATGACCAAGGTTTAGAACAAGAATTTCAAACATTAAAAAAGAATGAAGAATTTAATAAAATTTCAGAAAACACAGTAAATGAATGTAGTTTTCAAAAAGAAGAACACGGCATAAATGATTATCAAAGTAATAAAAAAAAAAATGACGCATTTAATGTTAAAAATAAAAATGATGAAATTGTAGATTATAATAATAAAGATGAAAATAATACATATATATACACTCAGAATAATGATGAACCTTTTAATGATGGTAATGACAACAGTAATGAAAGAAATGATTATAGTCTTATCCGTTTATGTAATACAAAAGAAAAGGAATCAATAAATTTTAGTAAAATAGATGTTTATACTGATAAAACAATTAAAAGAAGAAAAAAATTACCAAGCCCTAGAACTGAAATAAAAATAAGCTTGTGGTCATTACTAAAAGATTGTATAGGAAAAGATCTTTCTCGTATAGGTATGCCCATTTATCTAAATGAGCCATCTTCATTTCTTCAACGTCTTGCTGAAGATTTTCAGTATATTTATTTGTTAAAATATGCGTCAGAACAAGAAGAAAGTACAAGTAGACTAGCATTTGTAACAGCTTTTACTATATCACCATACGCATCAGTAATTGGTCGAACATTCAAACCTTTTAATCCATTATTAGGTGAAACATATGAATTGACCCATAGGAAATTCTATTTCATATCAGAACAAGTTGTTCATCATCCACCTATTACTGCTTATCATTGCCATAATGATTATATGGAGAACTTTGCTAGCATAATGGTAAATGTACAAATACTAGGAAAATCTATAGAAGTAACTATACCAGGATCAAATCATCTTATATTGAAATATAAAAAAAATTGTAATAATAGCAAAAGTATGAATAAAACTAAAAAATTGGAGGTAAATAAAAATATTTCTAATAAAAATGATATTTGTGATCATAACAAAATAAAATATTATGAAAAAAACACAGTTAAAGAAGAAATGAACACAAAAACCTATATTGAAAAAAAAGATAATAATATTTGTAATGAAACTTTTAATGATAACAATAATGATATAAAAAATTATGATGTTCATAAACACGATTTTTATCCAATAGAAAAGAAAGAAGACTTTAATAAAAATTGTATATTTGAGAAAAATATAGAAAATAGTAAAAACAAATCATGTAAAAAATCTAAAATAAAAGACAGAGTTGAAAAAAACAATTTTTTTATATTGAACAATCAAAACAACAGTGAAATCAAAATTGATGGAAATAGCAAAAATGAAAATAAAAATAGTGAAGAAAACGGTTGTGATCGCAATTATGGCAATACATGGAATACAAATAAATTAAATGAAAATAATATCAAAAAAGGAAATTCTTTAAATGAAAATGGATTACAAGTGGATGAAATAGAGAATGATGAATATTTAAAAAAAAAAAAAGGTGAAGGAGGAAGAGAGAAGAAAAAAACAAAGATCAATAATAGTGGGGTAAAAAGTGAATGTAGTTACGAGCATTATACATATCAAAGAGCAAATATGATTATACACAATATTATATTTGGAAAATTATGGGTAGAATTACATGGAAATATATTAATAAGAAATCACAATAATGGAGATTTTTCTATAGTTCGTTATATAAGAAAAGGATGGTTTGATAAAGAAATACACAAGGTACGAGGAATTGTATGTGACAGATTTAAAAATGTCATTTTTTTTATATACGGGAAATGGTCCCAAGAAATTTACATAGCATACGTAAAAAATTTGAAAAAACTACAATATGATACATATTTCTTTAACGAAGATGGAACCGAAAACACACAATTTTTTAATAAAAATACTTTAAATGATTTCATCAATAATTTTGATTGGCAATTTTATGAGAATAATATAGAAAATTTAAAAAGTGTGTGCGTATGGAGAGCACAAAAGAGACCTAAAAATAGTGACATGTATTATGGATTTAATTATATGACAGTAGAATTAAATGAAATAACACCTGAATATGACAGGTTAAATGGGGCATCCATAGCATGCACAGACAGCAGATTTCGTCCTGATCAGAGAAATTATGAAAATGGAAACATAGAAGTAGCTATGCTTGAAAAACAAAGGCTTGAAAATAAACAAAGACAGAACTCAAAAAAGTATGGAGCAAATAATTCTTACAAGCCCAAATGGTTTTATAAGAATAAAGATCCAATTTATAAAGATAATGATATATATTTATTTAATCATAAATATTGGCTCACCAAAAAAAATAAGGAGTTTTCAGATTCACCTGATATATTTTAAATGGAAATTCATAATTAAAAATATATATCCATATTTTCTAAGATTGTGTTTTAGAAAATTATATAAAATATTTGTTTTACATATTTGTGTGCAATATTTTAAAAATATTACATTATATTTATGATGGATTCATAATTTATGAATATTTAAGAAATGTATAACTTGTTAAGTGAAACATGTACCCTTGGAATTAAAAGATATATAAAATCTTTATTTAAATTTTTTAAATTAAAAAGAAAAAAAAAATGAAATATATGTTTTTAATATATATATATACTTTTTTAATCTCTTTAATAATTGTATATTTTTAAAGAAATAATTCATATCAAATTTATGGGTTCTAAATTTTATTTATTTCTCTTTATTTATACCTTCCATATTGCATAATATTGTAATAAAAAAAAAAAAAAAAATTATATGTTTTATATTAAATTTTTATATACATATGTTTTTCTTAAATATATCTATAAAAAATTTTCACCTATAATGTATATATAAATTTACGACAAAAAAAAAAAAATTATTCATAATTTGTGCTTACTCAATTTAATCTTTATGAAAAATTAAAATTTAAAGTCTTTTTTTTGTTTTTTGTCTAATTTTTATCGCTTGATCAAAATTTTAATTTTTTTAAAATATTGTGAAGATTATTCTATAATTTTATTTCTGGTGTAAGATTTCACATTTCATTACATCTAATCAAAATAAGAAAAACTATATAATTTATTTAAAAAGTAAAAAAAAAAAAATTTATGAAATTTATGTTAATATTTAAGTAATAAAAAAAATCTTTATATTTATAAAAAATAGTTTTTACCCATAAAATACAAAAAAATTCAATACCAAAATAATAATAAGCCTAAAACTAACTCATAATTTTTTTATAGAAGAAATTAAAACTTTATAAAAAATGAATGAATTAAAATCAGAAAGTTTTATATTATTTGAAGGAGAAAATGAGTATAAAAAAAAAAAAAAAAACAAAAAAGCATAAATATAATATGATTATTTTGTTTTTATTATTATTTTTATGTCAAAATTTTATATTTAGGGTAAATTACAAAAACTTCTGTTATGATTATTCAGAAGAGCTTATAAGAAAAAGAACTTTAGATTTTCAATCTTATAAAAGTTTAAATTGTAAAAGTAAATTGGATAAATGGTCTTCTAAAGACAAAATAGAATTTAATTATGATACTTTGGTAAAATTACAAGTAAAACCAGTAAGAATAATTTGTTCCATCACTCATTTTTTTTATTATATTTTTTAAAAAATTATAGAAACTCACACCTAAATGCAATCAACGATATGTTGATTTAATTAATATAAAAGTAGAACAATTTTGCAGATTGTGTATATTTAATTTAAATTTCTTTTTTCTTTCTATTTTTATACAGAAAAAAGAAGAATTTATTTTTATTTGCTCTTTATGGTTATTACAAAGCGACTTAAATCTAATTGAAAAAGTTAAAAATTAAATAATATTAAGAGAAACATTTATTCTTTTTTTTTTTTTATTAAAAATGTTAATGAAAAATATTAATTAAATTAAAAACTATTTCTTTTTTTTCCTTTATTTTATATATATTTTAGCATAATTTTAGAGACTTTTTAAACAATAACGATCAAGAGAAACGTTATAAAATTCCAATGTTATGGATTCATGATTATAAGACAACATATTCCACGTTAATAAATAAATAGTTTACAATATTCCTATAATTACTACATATATATATATATATATATATATTTTTTATCTTCCATTTATTTATAGCAATTATACAGATAAAGATAAAATTAGGAAAAAAATGATATTTATAAATAATCTACTCTAATAATTCATAATTATATATTTTTTTTAATCAAATCTTTTATTAAAATAATATTCCTATTGTATTTTAGTAAAATTCTATTGTTACTATTATTTGAAGTTTTTAATGAACATTATTTTTTTTATTATATTTTATTTTAATTTATTTATCTGTGAAAAAATATGTTTTTTTCAAAAAGAAAAATATATTTTTTTTATATACTTAATTTAGATTATGTGTACATGTTATACCAAATGTGTAGTGTTTATTTTTTCTTCCAAGTTCATATATTTAAATGTTAAAAATTTTTTTTTTTGTAATATGAAATATAAATACTAATATTTATGATAATAAATTTAAAATATCAATTTATGTTTAAAATTTTTTTTTTGTTTTATCTTAGTATTATTAATTTTATATAATGCAACTATTATTAATTATGTATATATAACATGAAAAAGAAGTGTGAAATGCCTCAATAAAATTTATATATCATTTTATATTTTATATACAACTATTAAAATATATAATAATATATAAAAACCTTAATTATTATATAATGACATTAAAATGTGGAATATTTACTGTATAAAATGAAAAGTATAAAAAGAAAATAAAAAAATTCAATTCAAGATTGTACATAAAATTACATTTTTTTTATTATTCAAGTTTTTGCTTAACAAATATATATGATTTTATATTAAACAAAAAATGGGAATATTAAAATAAAATCACAAATATTTAATTATATAAATAAAATGTATTTATGTGAATTATTATTAAAAATCAAATTTTTGTAGAACATAACAAATATATATATATATGTATATATGAATTTTAAATGCTTGCATTAAGAGAATAACTCTTCAAAATAGTTTCAAAGATATTTCTACTCATTGAAAAAATAGGAAAAAATACAAATGAAAAAATAAAAAAAAATATATTTTTAATATTAATTGTAAATTATTACATAATTCTCTTTAGTATTTTAATATTCAAAATATTCTGAATTACCAAAAAACATTTTTACAAATATTTATTTATATGTGATATGCATATATAAAAGAATGAAAAGTATATTTATAAACATGATAATGTTTTTAAATAGGTTATAAAATAATAGCAAGAATCCCATTTGTCTATATTATTCTTTTTATTTTATATATATATATATATATTCTTTTTTTTTTTTTTATCACAATGATCCATTTAGTTATATATTAAAAATATCTTTTATGATAATAATCTAGTCTAATATATCTAATATTATTATTTATCATAATATATATATTTTTTTGAAAGTTTTTTTATGTATGGTTTATATAATCTACTTCATTAAAATTAAAATTAAAATTTTCTGCAATTTTATTATTATTAAAAGTAACGTTTTTGTTATTTTCGATGCACACACTATTTTTTTCATGAATAAAAAAATTATCTTCACAAAAAAACTTACAAATATCATTATTAATACATTCCTTAAATAAAATTGATTTAAATTTTAATAAATAATCCATTAAATATTCGTATTTATTTTCAAGTATTTTGATGTATAAATTCTGTTTTTGTAATTTTACACTATATGTGTTTATAATGTCATAAAAATAATTCAATTTTTTTTTTAAATAAGTAACTTCATTTTTTAATTTATTAAAATGTACTTCATTGAAAGGATATTCGATACTTTTTGCTTCCATTATTCTGTTATTTTTATCAATAGGATTTTTTTCTTCTAATAAATCTTTAACTTGTGCTTCTAATTTTTCAATTTTTTTAAAATAAATATTATTTTCTATTTCTACGTTTTTTGTGTAAGTATAAATCAACTTATATATATCATTTCTTTTTATCTTCATTTTAATTGCATATTTTTCGTCATTTAAATCGTGAAAATTTTCTAAATAATTGTATATTATTGACTTATCAATGTTTAAGTTTATATGACTATTGTTTAAATATTTTTGTATTATATAGTTATTTTCGTCACTTTTATAACAATTATAAAAGTCTTGGCAGTTTTTTTCTTCATTGTACATTCTTCTGCTCTCTATATCTGATCTATCATAATAAGTGGAATTATTTTTAGTTATAAATTCCTTGTCATAATTACAATGTTTTCTATCATGTCCAAAAACAACAGATCTATTCATATTATGACAAATATTATTATTGTATATGTTTCCCATTTCAAATGAATTAAAGTTTATATTCTCTTTTAAATCGTTGATTTCTTTTATCTTACTTAAATCAATGTTTTCATAATTTTTAATAATATTATTATTCTTTATATTATATTCATTTAAAGATAAATCATTTGTGCATAAAACTTCATTGATATGTTTATCGTAACTTTTACTAAGATTATAATTATTGTCTTCGTTATCATTATAATAACTATTTGTATTGTAATTTTCGTTATGAATTTCATTGTAGTTTGTTTTATAGTTTTCACTGCTTGCTATATTAAGACTTTCATTATAATTTTCATTACGATTTTCATAATAATTTATATCATTACCCATATTGTTATTTACATTTAAATTTATGTTTTGATTATTAATCTCAATACTATTAAATATATTATTTGCAAGTAGGTTATCCCTTTTATTTTCATTTTGATAAAATTTTATTTCATTAGAATATTGTATCCATTTGTTATCATAAATATTTTTAACAGAACTTTCACATTTATTATAATTTTCTATTTCAGGTTCTTTAGTTTTTTGATATATATTTTTATCTTGGTTATCTTCTATTTTACATGTTTGCATAAATAAGCTTTCATCACTTTCTACTTCTTCTAATAGATTATCACCATTTATTTTAATTTTCATATCTATTCTTTCTGTTAACATATCATAACTATGATTACAACTAAGTTTATTTTGTTCCATAAACGTTTTTTCATATAAATCTTTGCAAAGATCATTTTGACTATGAATTTTTATATTATCATTTTTATCATCATGTTTTTCTGGTATAATATTTTTAGAATATATGTTTTCATATAAATCAAATAAAAAAATTAAAAGTTTGTAAATCTTTTTTTTTTGAACAGATAAAAACATATTCTCCAATTTTTCATTTTCCATCTTTGGTATATTTTTAACTTCTGTATATATTTTTGTTTCTGTATCATTTAGTTCTGTCATTTGATTTTTACATGTATTCCCCTCATTTTTATGATTGTAAACATTATCTTTTTGTTGAATACTCATATACGTATTATATAACTCATTATCAATATTTTTAATATTCATATATATTTCATCATAAGTATTTTCATCATTTTTTTTTTGATAATTGCATATGTCTACATCGTACTTTTTATTAGTAGCATTTGTCTTATAACTTGTGTTACTTTCTTCATCTATATACTCTTTTTCATTTTTTTTATTAGTTCCTATATTTTTTAAAATATTAATTTTTAAATTTTCAATAAATTTAAAAAAAAAGTTGTCAACACAAAACAAATAGTGTAGAATAAAATCAGTATATGATTTTTCTATTTGAATTTTTAAAATATTGTCATAATAAATAAAATTATTACATGAATATTCTGTTGAATTATTATTTAAACCACAACCACCAAAAAAATATAAAGAATTATTAAAATAAAGACATCTATTTCTAAAATTATTATAAGGTATTATAATATTTTTCCAGAATTCTATTTCTTCTATACATAAAAAATTACAATATAAATTTCTTTGTAATTTACTATTTTTAATAAATGTATCAAGTTCTTTTGTTTTATTTAAATTATTAGGGTATAAATAATTATTTAATAAATGAAAATTATGAGAATTTGTTTTTGACGTTGTGGCTCCTTCGTGAAATGGAATATTATTTTTTATTAAGGTGTCACTGTTAGGTGAATAACTTTCAAAGAAATTTTTTTCATAAGATTCTTTTTCATTTAATATTTTTATATATTCATTTTTTTTTTCATCGTCATTTATTTTAGTATCATTTACTAAGAAAGTATTTAATTCAGTTTTATTATTGTTGTTATTATTATTAGAAATATTTTCTTTGAAGTTTACTTCATCATCAATGGTATTCTTGTCACAATGATCAATATTCAAATTCAAACAACTTACTAGTTGACATTTATAATAGTTTTTTAAAATTAGTAATTGTAAAAATTTAAGATAGCTTTTCTTTTTTTTAATTAAATCAATTTTTAAATAAAGTAAATCATCAATGGTAAATATTTGTTTCCAGCTGTTTTTTTCGAAATCATATTCAAAGAAATCATTATTAAGAACACCATAATTCATATATTTTGTAAATCCACCATAAATATATAATTTATTTTTTATGAAAAATCCTGAATGTCCATATCTTTTTGAAGGATAATTTTGAGTATTACATATAATTTCATACCATTTTTTTTTTTTTAAATCAAAGAAATAAAAATCATCCTTTTCTTCTATTAGATCTGTTCCTCCATGAATAAAGATTTTATTATTATAACAAACACATAAATGGCATGCCCTACTAGTAGGCCACTTTTCAATAAAATTTTTATTTCCATTGATACTTGAAGGACTATTATTCTCATTTTCATTATTCATTTCGTCTTTATTTTCATTTTCAATTTGATAGTTACTAGCATTTTGATCTCCATTTAGTTTTTTTAAATTTATTAGATATTTTAATGAGTTTGATGTATTCAAATTGCTATATATATCACTCTCTTTTCTCTTTTTTTTATTTAGTTTCAAAAGTTTCCACTTTCTTTTGTTTATGTTGCATATCCAGAATTCATTGCAGCTTACCCATTTGTCATTTGATAATATCACTCCTCCAAATAAATATAAATAATTATTTATTAAAATTATTGAAAAGTCTTCTCTTGACAAATTCAATAATCTATTGTAAGTAATTTTTATTTCTTCCCAATAAAAATTACTCATATCCAATTTATATATAGTATAAAAATCAACTATTCTTTGTTCTTTACATCCTAAAACATAAAAATATTTTTTTTTTTTATTATATTCATTATTAAATTCTTCTTTTAAATTAATGTATGAGTTGCTGTCTTTGTCATAATTTTGCTGATCAGATAAGGAAAATTTTTCATTTTTATAAATCAAGCTTAACAAATTATTCTCATAACTATTTTTTTCTTCCCTCGTTTCTTCACTATTATATACACACAAATTATCATTAGTGTTATTTTTAATTGATTTAAAATCCCATAATGAGTTATCACTTGCGTCACATAAAAAATAAATTTTAAAATAAATTTGAGGTTGTGCTCCTTTCGTACATATTGTTTCAATTTCATTTTTATTTACTTTAAAAATTTTATCAGGTATTATAAAATTATTCTGTTTAGCACCATAAATATAAATATTATTTTTATAACTAAAAAAAAAGGCTTTTTTAAAATTTATGTTTTTGGGGTAATTTACTTCCAGATAATTCCATTTGTAGTTATTTCTTAAATCATAACTTATATCTTTCGTTTTTATTTTTTTTTCTCCATTTTCTTCATTTTTTATGATATCATCGCTAGTATTAGTATTCATATTTCCTTTTTCTGTATTTCCATTACAATATAATACATTCACCTCTTCTTTTAATTTGTCATATGTTGTACAGATATCATTTATATTATCTTCTCTATTGCAATGACTTGATTTTTGAATACTATTTATATTTTTATTATAAGAAATATTGATATTGTTTATATTATCATAGCAGTAATTCCCATTATTTATAATAGAATGATCATTAATTTCAATATTTTTACAAAATGTTTTAATATTATTAAAATTGTTATTAAAAGAAAAATTAGCATTCTTATTTTCATTATGTTTTTTGATAGTACTATATCCATTGAAGTTAATATCATCATTATCATTATTAATTTGTGTTTCTTTTTGATTACTACTATCAGCAGTGTAATTATTATTAATATCTATGTTATTTATATCAGTATAATCTCTAATGTTAATATAATTATTATTATCATTATTATTTTTGTTAATATCAGTAATACTATTATTATAATTACTATGTATTTTATCAATATTACTATTATTATCCTTAATGTTATTTATATTATCAATGAATACATTTTTATTACTATCATCAACGCAATTATCATTGTTATTATGAGAGTAATTATTATTATTACCTTTACTGTTATTATTATCGATATTATAAAAATATTCATTAACTTTTTTCATTTCAACATTTTTATTTATTGAATTTTCATTGTTATCACATTTAAATTTTATCATATTATTCAAATAACCACTTGAATTTTTATTTATAGTTTCTTTACTCATTAATTTAAAATCTAATTTTTGATTTTCTGATGAATAGTCTTCACTGAAATACAGATTTCTTTCAAAAATGTTTTCATTTGATGACCATTTACATATATCCTCCATTTTTTTTCTATTTAAATTATCATTATTTTTTGTATTAGTATTTATATGAAAATTAAAAGTATCATTACAAATATTTTTTTCCTTTGATATTATGTTATTATTTGTTTTATCATTGGTATTATCAAGAAAGTTTTTCACTTCATTTATTTGTAATAATTCTTTTTTATCCTGAGTAAAATTTACAACATTTATTTCATTGAAGTTATTAGTTTTATCATCCTTTACCTTTAAGAGAGTTTTTTCTTTATATATATCTAATGATAAATTTTCATTAACTTTTATATTATCATTCTGTAAGTCCTTGTTTTCAATTTGTAATTCTTCTTTATTCATTATATTATTTTTTACATTAAGTAAATTTTCATTATTATCTTTTATTATAAATTCTTCTTTTGCACTATTCTTCATGTCTTCAATATTATCATTCCAATTATTTAGAAGAAAATCACTGTTCCTATATTCTAATTTTATATTGTTACAGTAATTAAGTAATTTCTTGTTTTCACTATTATAAAAATGTAAGCAATTTTCTTTTTTGTCACTTTCAATATTTTTATTGCATGATTCATTTCTATTTATATTTTCTTCAAAATCTGTTTTGTTTCTTTGTTTAGTAAAAAATTTTAGCCATTTTGTATGATTATTAAAAGGTATACTTTCCTTTATGACACTTTTATTTATATCTATGTCATCATTTTCACATTTCATATCTTGGAAGAGATTTTTATTGTAAGAATTAGTGCAATTAGAAATTTTATTATTAATATTTAGGTTAGAAACATTCGTAACATTACAGTATTTTACGTCATTATTCATTTCGTTAGAATTCTTATAATTTATTTTTTTTGTCTTATATATTAAATTGACATCATTTATACAACTATTATTCATATTGTTTATAATATTTACATTATCTACATAGTTTATATTATTAATGCAGCTATTATTTACATTATTTAGATCACCTATGTCATTTTCATCATCCAAATAATTTAATGTAATTATTCCATTTAAATCATTTGTTATATTATCTACATTTTTTATTTCATTTATGTTATTATCTTTTATGTAACTTAAATTATTTATATAATTTATTTGATTTATTCTATTAGAATTACTACTATTTTTTATATTATTTATGCAATTTATTTCATTCACATTATTACTTTTGCATGCATTGTTTATTATATTTATATCTTTTACAACACTTTCATTATTAACATTCTGAGTTTCATTTATATGATTTATATTATTAATTTCACTTATATCTCTTATATCCATATTTATTTCATTTAAGGTATTATGATTATTCAAGTCAATCATATTATTAATTAGATTATCATTTTTTATATTGTTAATCATATATTTTTTAAAATCAAAATTGTTTTTATGTTGGTTCATATTTTTTCCATCCAAGTCATTGTAGATACTTTCAAAATTTTGACAATTTTTTTCGTTGTTTGAAAAATAGTCTAATATATTTGAGCTACTATTACGAAAGTTATTTATATTATTATTTACAATATTATGTTTACTATTATTTTCAATAATAGGATTTTCTATTTGTGAAGTATGAATATAACTTTTCATTGTATCATTGTCACACTGATTGCAACTAAATATATTGTTGAAATTAATACTCATATTATTTTTATTTTCAAAGTTTATTTGTTTGTTGTTTAAAGGAAAATGTATATTTTTTTCTTTTTCTGAATTATAATAATTTATATCTCTATGATTATTTATATAATGCATAAAATCAAAATTATTATTTATATATCTATTTACATCCTTATTATCTTTATTAAGTTCTAATTCATTTTTATCATAAGTGCTTCTATTATCAGTATAATGATTGACATTTATATTGTTAATGTTATTTATATTAGTATTATTTAGAGTTATTCCATTCTCCATATTAATAAAGTTATTTATATCATTCATATCATTTATATCCATACTATAATTATCTATATTGTTAGAAATATGATTTTTTCTTTCATCATTATATATACCGTAATTTGTATTATAATTTGATTTCTTTTCATCTAATATATTATTATTATTATTCTCTGAGTTATTCATAGTATTGTACTTATTTACGCATAAATTATTATTTTTCTTATTTATATATATATCTTTATTTTTTGATAAAGTTTGTTTTTTTGTTGAATCATTTTCTGTATGATTTTCAATATTAAAGATAGAAAATTCATTCTTTTTTATATTATCTGAAAAATCCCCTGTATTTGTATGGAAAAAAATGTTTGTATAATTTTTATTTTTGTTTGTATAATTTTTTTCATTATCTTCAGAATTAAAATTTAATATATTTGTAGAAGAATTTAGAGTATCACTATGATTTTTTTCATTAAATTTATTATAATTATTTTCCTTATTTGCATTAATATAGTTAAGTTTATTATTTTGTGGTAAACTAATATTAATACTTTCATTAGGATTTAATGAAAAATTGTCTATTTTTTTTTTTTTATTAGATGTTGTATAATTATTAAAAAAATATGTCAAAGTATTCATTTTACTTCTTTCTGTTTCATCATTTTCATTAACATTTTCATTTGTTTTTTTTTTTTTATCAAAGTTCACATTTACATTGTTATTTAATTGATTATATTCTGAACTGGTCATATAATTATTACAATTTTCATTATTTAAAATATTAAAATCAAAACTAATATTTTTTTTTTTATTTATAATTTCATTCGGTTCTCTTAGTTGATTTTTAAAAACAGTTGAAAAACATGAATTATTTTTGTAACAATTTTTATTAAGAGCTGTTTTATTTTCATTTAAAATATTTTTCGATTTTAAAGATATACCTATTTTTTCTCCCTTGTTATTTTCTCCTAGTAAAATATTTGATTGGCTGTATTTAAATTCAGAGTAAACATTTGTACTCCTATCATATATTATGGAATCATCTTTTTCATTGATAAGTGTTATATTTGAATTCTCACTTGTATTAATAAAATTATTTTCTTGTATGAATAAATTATCCTCCTTATTTTTATTAGTCGAATTATTTTTCTCATCTACTATATTTTTCGTATTATTTTGATCACCGATTTTATCATCATTTATGCTACTACTTAATAAAACACTTTTACACTTTGTAATACAATTATCAGGAACACTTTTAGATTTATTTTTGTTATTTGGATAATTTGTATATAAAATATTATTTGAAGTATTTGTATTATTTTTTAAAATATTTATACAATTTACACTATCACTATCATTTTTAGATATATTTTCAATGTAACTCATTTTATTAACAGACTGTTTTATATTAAAATAAATATTTTTACTTTTTATTCTATATGTTTTTTTAATTATTAAACATAAATATAGAAAATATAAGTAATATATAATAGAATATATATATATATATATTTTTTTTTTTTTTTAACTTTTTTTGATAATTTTTTTTTTTGTCTTTTATTAAAATTTAATTTTATAATAGAAAATATGAAAATACATTAATTTTTAATGTCAATAATGCAGATGTTCAACTATTTATTTATTACTTTTTTTGTAAATACCTAATTTTTTTTTAAACTTACAATAAATATAATGATTTTTAAGTTTAATTATATATATATATGTCCTTTCTTTTTTAAGCATAAAGTATTTCATGCTTTTTTGTAAATTTTCGTAAATAATCAGATGTTTCTTTTTACAAAGAATTAGAAATGTGAAGTTCAACATAATAATGAACTTCAAATTTGAGATTTTGTTACTTATAAAAATATTTTGTTTCTATTCATTTTTTCTAAATTTTCCGTGTAAAAAAAAATACATATAATCAAAAAAATTTTTATATGAATGATTCTATATAAAAAAATTTAACAAAAAATAAAAAAAATTAACTATCCAAACGAAATGTTTAGAATGGAAAAGAAACATAAATTTTTTTTTATTACTATTTTTTTTTTTTTCTATATAGCTTTATATATAATTTATAGATTTTAGTTTAGAAAAAAAAATAATAAATAAAAATAAAATAACTATTCTGATAAAATTTCAATAGATTTCTGTTTATTTCTCATTAACATTAAATCTATAATGTATTTTTTTCTTTTTTATTATTACACATTTAATAATATAAAGAAAAAAAGCTTTATTTTATTTTAAAATTACGTTTATTTAAATCAAACAAAAAAATAAATATACATTTCAAATGTTACAAATATATTTTTATTTGTAAGTTAGGCATAAATAATTTTTAAGTAATGTGTAAGTCTATATATATATAAATATAAAAAAAAAATTATATATATTTCCTAATTTATAAGTTATCTCTATATATAGGAATATATTTTATTATATTTTATTATCTTTATTTTCTATAATTCTTTTTATAGCATTAATTCATAAACATAAAAGAATATTCTTATTTATGATTTATCATAAAATCAATATATAATAAATGTGTAGATAATTTAACAAAAAAAATAAAATAAAATGAAGAATAAAAAATAAAAATAATTAAAAAAAAAAAAATAAAATAAACAAAATAAAGTAAAATAAAAAAAAAAAAAATAGCTATCAATATTAGAAACGGATAAAAAAAAAAAATAAAGCGCACCATAACTATTATATTTATATTAATTTATGCGTAGTATAATTACTAAAAATGTGTAAACTATTATTTATATAATTTAATTTATTAGCAAAAAGCAGCAAAGAAAATAAATTTTTTATGGATATAAGATGAAAATTTTTCAACATAGATCTTATATATTCATATGTTCTTATTATAAATAAACTTATATTATTTTTAATTTATTTTTTGTAATCTATAAGAATGTTTTCAGTGAACTATAAAATAAATAAAGTATTAAAATTTCAATTTTTATTTATGCTCAAATAATGCTTAAAATGTTATAGTGATACTATAAACTCTAAAATAAAAATTATTTTTGGATATAAAATTTTCTATGAAAATAGAAATAATATTTATATAATAGGAAGGTGAAAATGTGTAATTATTTTATTTTTTTTATAACAAAAATAGATGTATATATATTTTTATGTTAAACATATTAATTTTGACAAACGTAAAAGAAAAATAATAAGTAGAGAAAAAAAAATATATAATGTAATTAACATCAACAAGGAACATATAAAAATAAAAAGAAAAATATATATAAATTTAAAAGTGAATATACGATAATAAAAAAAAAATGTTTATAAATGTGTATGCATTTTCAAACTAATAACAAAAATTTTAAGAATGTAAATAATTTAAACACTAATTTTATTATACTATTATAACATAATATATAAATAAAAACTCTGGTATCAACAGAGAAAAAAATAGTAATAAAATATACACAAAATGAATAAAAAATGTCATAAAAGAATGTAATCATAAGAGAATTTATTCTTCTATGCTTATTATATATTTTACAATCAGTGTAAAAATAGATTTTTATTTTTTTTTAATTTATATATATATTTATTATGTTATTTATGCCAATAATGTAAAATTAATAACTTTTTTAAAAGAGAAAAGTATATTCAAATATTTTATGATGTTATTTTTCTATTTCATTATTATTTTAAAATGAATAATCCTTAATTTCTAATTTATTTTTAATTTTCGAATAAATTAATTAGGCATCAATTTATTTTATACATATATATATATATATATAAACTAGTATAAAGATACAATTGTACACTTGTATTCTCCATAAAAGTTAATTTTTCAGAAATCTTTAAGTGAAAAAATATATTTAATCTCTATTTAACATATATTTTTTTTTAATATATAAAAATAACTTTATTAAAAATATGAAATAAGGATTTAATGTATTCTAATGTAAACATTATAAATTTGTACATATTAATATGTAATCATATTTAAGATACTTACAAAACTTTTTTTCATATTTTTTATTTAGATATTTATTTTTGACATTTAATTAAAAGAATTTATTTTTTATTTCATAATAAGAAGAACTTAGAAATAAAAGGAGAAAAATATTAAAAAAAATCTTAAAATTATACTGAAAATGTTTCTTTATAGTACCCTATAATTTGCAAGATGCTATTTTAAAATTTACGCTCCGATTTATTTTATTAAAAGAAAATACAAAATAAATTAATAATATTAATAATAAAGTAAGGGTAAAACTTATAATTTATGCAAATTAGAGCTCTAAATTAATTTATATCTTATTTTATTTCTTCATGAAAGTGCAACATTTTTTTCAACTGTATATAATTTGTATTTAATATAAAGAACTATCATAAATATAAGTAAAGAAAAGTTTTTTATTACTTATATAAATAAATATTAAAACTTTAAAACCAGTATAAATTTTTTATCAAATTTTCTTCAAAAGACAATGTATTTAAAATAAAAATTTGAAAAAATTAAATAACTTTTACAAACAAAAATATGTAAATTAAAATGTTTAGTTAAGAAATACTGAATTTGAAGATTTGTAAATGTTATTTAAAATTTATAATTACAAAAATATATTTATTTTTTTTTAATAAAAAGTATGTCTAGTATCTTAAAATGTATTTATAAGAATTTTAAGATATTAAAGTAAAATTTTGAAGTATATAATTTTAATATAATTTCTTACTAAATACTTTTTTTAAGTTTAAATGAATTTTAAAAATGTAAATTAGCTTTATAATGAACACGAAGTTACCAAGAACCTTTAAGTTTGTGATCCCTCATTATTTTTATGTTTTTTTTATAATCTCCGATGTTCTATGTGGTTTTAAAATTTGAGCTGCTTTTTTTTTTTTATATATATTAATATAATTTTTTATTTTTGGATAAAATAAAAGAACCACAATTATAGAATGTTAAGAAAATGAAATTAATACAAATTAAAATAAATGTATTTTCCATTTTATACTATTATTTTAAATTCAAATTTTTAAAACTTTATAAAAATTTTAAGATCCAGAAGACTAAAATAGAAAATATTAAAGACATTTTTTGTTACTCTATATGAGGTACAGAAATGATCATGAAAAAATGGCTTAATCTAATTTACTGCTACCTGAATAATGGATTAGAGAAAATTTAAATGTTAGAGTGTAAATTATATTTTATGGTTTCGATAAGGTATAAGACATAACATTTTTAATTAGAAAAAATAATATAAAAATATATATATATATATATATTAACAATATTTTTTTTTTATATGTTGCACTATTATGCACATATTTTTTAAGGATAATTAATAGATATGGTAAGATGAATATTAAATAAAAAAAAGAACACAAGCATATTTTATTATAACTATAATGAATGTGTTTTTTATATATTTTAATAATAATCAAAATATGTTAAGAATCTAAAAAAATTTGTTGAGCCCTTCATAATACTTGCATTTTTCAGCTTATATTTCTATAAGTTGAATTTATAAAAAAAAGAAAAAATTGCATTTTATTGTTTTTAATTTATAAATGCTATGTTTTTTTTCTGAGATAAATATACTTTATTCACTAAGAAAATATATTTACATACGTTCTATATATAAAACTTGTAATTCAGTTCTTTTTAAATTCTATGTGTGCAATGTTTTAAGAGAAAATACTCTTTATTAATTTATATATGTGCATATGCTAATAGAAATACTAAAAAACAGTGAATATCTAAAAAAATTTATATGAACAAGAAATGTAATATATGTGTATATATATATTTGTTTTTTTTTTTTTTTTTTCTTTTAAATACTAACTGTAATGTAAAATAACATAATATTTTTATTTTGAGATAAAAAAGAATTTAAGAATATACTATAATTTTTTTTTTTTTTATAAACAAAATAATATTGTTGTACTTTTTCTTCTTTTTAACAAATAAAAGTTCCTCTATATTTTTTTTAGTAAGCAAAAAATGTTGTACTCATTTTGTTTTTTTTAAAAAACAAAAACTCTAGTATTTTTTTTTTTTTAATTTTTGTCCAACTTTTATTACATTGCAATACAAATTTTTCAGTTTAATATAAATTGGTTTTTGGACTGAGGTTTTAATTAGATTTTTTATTTAATTACTATTTTTTATTTTTTTTTTTTTTTATTATAAGCTCACACATTTTATTACTTGTCCATTTTTTTTTTTTTTTTTTTTTTTTTTATTAATAAAATTATCTTTTACAAATTTTATTGATTTTATGGTTAATAAAATAACTTATATATCTTAAAAAGTATGTGTAAGCACTCATTTTTTTTTTTTTTTTTTTTTTTTTTTAAAGTAATAAAATAATAAATTATTTAGTTTTATATCTTTTTTAATTCCATAAAAGAGTTATACATTTTTTATTTTCTTTTTCTATAAATTAATTAAAATGAATATGGACATGGCATATAGTATGAGAAATGTTATGAACTCTGCTAGAAATATAGAAGAGCCTAAATATGATATGAACACAGTTGATTTGGCGAATAATACTATGAATACAAATTATTTAATGAATGGAGCAGTATTAACTAATGCTTATAATAATGATTTTATGATAAATAGAGAAAAATATCCAGCAGATATGATATCACAATTAAAATTAGAGCAAGCTTTGAAGAATTATAACAACACAATGCCAATGAATAGTGTTACAATTCAAGACCCTAATGATTCTATTAGTGTGCATGGAATGAAAACAAATTTGGATACTACAGGATTTGAGAGTTATAGAAATTTAATGAACTATAATAATACACAAAATACTATTCAAGCTAATCAAATACCAATTAATTTAGATGATTACAATAACAGTGATGCTATGTATGTTAATGCAAGTACAGGAGACAAATTTTCTGCAGAATATATTAATAATTTACCAACAACTGACCCAGATACAATTTTATATTCAAATAATTTTAAAATTCCAAATGGAAATTTTAATACAATGATGCATAATAATTATAATAATATACCATACTCTATGCCCATATTCGAAAATATGAACAATCCACAAATGTATATGCAACATATGAACCAAAAACAAACTATGAACATTCCTTTACCAAATATGGAACATAAAACTAGCATTAGAAAAATACCAGCTGTAACTAAAAGAAGAATTAAACCAAAGAAATTTTTCCCATGTTGTTAAAAAAATTCTCTGTGAGTTATTTATGATAAAATCATAATTTAATAATTAATTATAGATTTTGTAATTCTCTTCATTGTTTTATTATTTTTTATCTTTATTTTTTTAATTTTTTATGCCATTACATATATATATACTTATTTGTATTTTTTTTTTTAATTNTGTGGTCCCATTGTTATTATTATTTATTCTTGTCTTTATTAATTTTTTTTCTTTTTTATCTGAAAAAGGAAAATTAGAATTAAATAATGTATTTTTTAGAAAATGTACTTATTTAAAAATGGTTTTTTAAATTTTTTTTTTTTTTTTTTTTTTTTTTTTTTTCTGTTGTTGTTATTGTTATTGTTTATCTTTCGATAATTTTTGTTATAATATTTTTTTATTTCTTTTTTATTTCTTAAATTTGTTCATTTAAAATTTTGACTACTGTATTTTCTATGTAATTTTAATTAATACGAAAGAATATGCATGAGTATGCTCATTTCTTTTTATATAATTATTTTAGTTAATTTTATTTATTTTCTGTTTTGTTTAAAATTATTAAAAAGTTAATATGAAAATTACATTTTTGTTTAATTTATTCGTAATGTTTCACCTTTTTAAGATTTTTTTTTTTTTTTTTTTTTTAACTTATAATAATAAATTATATTTCATATTTTCTATGAAATTTATAAAATGTATATGTTACTTGACATTTTATTATATTTAAAAATCTACCAAAAAATTAAAACATCTGAAAACAAAAAACTGTTATGTATGTTTAGTTATATACGTGTAATTGTTTTGTAAAAAATTAGATAAATAAAAAAAAATAAATAAACGTATTTCAAATTATAATATATTCCTTTTATTGCTTTTTGCTTTAAATAAATATAGGTATATATATGTATATATTTTTTTTTTTTTTTAGCGGCAAGATTTTATGTGAATATAAATAAAAAAAATAAGGTTAAAAAAAAAAAAAAAAAAAAAGGGTAATTTCAAATTAAACATATATATATAAATTAAATTTTTCCCTCTTTTTTTTTTTTTTTTTTTAAATTTATTAATATAAATAAAATTTTTTAAGAATTTTTCAATTATAAATTATTTTTTAAAACTTTCAACTAGTGGGTTCTGTCATGTACTAGGTGAAAAATATTTAAATAAAAATATCGTTATAAACAATAAAATTTTTGAAGTGAAATACATACATATATTTTAATATATGTTTTCTTTGAAGTTTTATAAAAGATATATATATTTTTATGAGGATAGCACATACGAATAGAAAATTTTCTTGAATGCAAACCAAAAAATGAATAAGTATAGAAGAAAATATCTTAATTAAATATACCCATTTACACATCTTCTCTTTGTTCTTTTATGAATGAAAAAAAAAAAATATAATCTCTGTAATTAAATAAATTATGATATATCTAGTAATATCAAAACTAAATAATGTAAAAAGTTTAAAAGTAAGGAAAATATTAAATTTTTATGTTTCAAATAATTATTGTAACAGTATATTTGATTTAATAGCAAAAAAGAAATTAGAATTAGAAAATAAAAATGATAATTTAGTAGAACAAAAATTACTTCAAATTGAAAAAAAGGAAGAAAAATATGGCTATAATCATCTTGAAAATGGGGTTAATAGAGATAGTAAGATAAATAATAGACAACAAATAAATTATTTGAAAAACAAATATAAAATGAATATAGGAGATTCAGACACTATAGAAAAGAGTGATTTACATACGAACGTTTCTGATAACTATATTTACAATAATAAATTATATATCCTAAAATATATAAAGCATTTACAAATAAATGATGAATTAAGTAAATATAGATTTATAACAAAATATGTAATTAATAATATAACAAAATTTTATGATAATGAAGTATTATTTATATTAAAAATATTCTCAAAAAAAAAATATAAAAATTTACTTTTTTTACAATGCACAAGCGAATATTTTTATTGGTTATGTAAATTAAATAAACACTCAAAAAAAAATATATCATACTATTTATATTTTTGTAGTGTTTTAAATTATATACCCACAATGAAGTATTTAGAAGAATATACAAAGATATTTAATTTTTATGAGAAAGGAATAAAAAATAATTTCTTTTTTTTTAATATGATTGAAGAAGAGTCTAACTTATATCACAAAAATGTTAAGTATATAATTCATGTATTATATTTTTTAAATAAGGCAAATATAAAAAATGATCTTTTTGATATTTTATTATATATGTGTAGTTATTATGCTAGTGATTTAACATTAAAAGGAACATTTTTATTATTAAAAATAATTGTAAATCTTGATAATGATAAATATAATCTGAACACTTTAAAAAATATTCATAAAAATATTGAAAGACATTTAGAATTATTAGAACAACATGATTTTAATAATTATTTAAATATTTTATTATTTAACAATATTAATTTAGATGATGCATTTTTTATTTTTGTAAAAAATTATATGGAAAAAAATCATTTTAACCTATCAGTGAATTCAGTTATGTCGATATTAAAAATAAAAAAAAAAGTAAATTACAGAGATCCTGTAATATTAAAAAAGCTTTTAGACATCATAACGCATAATTTCTATGATTACAATTATGGTGATATTTTAAATATATTAAAAATATTAGCTTTTTTTAATTATTTTAATGAAAATTTTTTTTATTTCCTTTTTAGCAAGTTTGTTAATTTAAAAAATTGTCCTACTGCTATTAATAATAAAGAAAAGGTTAAAAAAAATGATCAAATTAATATGCAAAACAAAATGATATCAAATTTAACTAATAGTAAAAATTCAATCAGTAATTCTCAAGTAGATAATATCCATGCTTATTTAAATTTAAAGAATGATATTAGTGATTTTTCTCGTAAAGAAGTTGAAAAAGTTGATCCTAATTATTTGGGTGAAGATTTCCTTAATGAAACACTACAAGAAAATAGTATTTTTAAATATAAAAATAAAATAATTCATAAAAGCATTTTTAAAAAATTTTACTATAATGATAATAAAAATGACAAGTATGATTATAATATCTACGATAGCAGTTATTACAATAGTGAAGATATTAATAATATGAATAATAATTATAATAAAAGCATTTTTAATATTTATGAAGATGATACATTTAAAAATGTAAATGATTATAATAATTATAAAAATAAAAAAGATACAAAAAATTTTAAAAATTTGCAATATCAAAAAGAAAGTAGTAATAAAAAAATAAATGAATTAACTCATTTGCCATTACATTTAAATGTTCATAAAACAAAAATGAAAATAAACTATTCAAATATAATGGAAAATCAAATAGATATAAAATATAATAAATTAAATGAAATATCTTATGATTTAGAATATATTGAAATGTTTATTAACTTATTTATTTATTTAGGAAAATGTGGATTTAGAAGTATTGACTCATTAAATATTTTATCTCATAAAATACAATTTTATTTATGTATGAGAAATAGCTATGACATTTATAATAAAAGAAAAGAAGTATATAAAGATTCAGAGACGAAATTCATAGGATTTTATGATAATATAAATAACATTAAAAAAAATATAAATTTTAATTTAGATTTTCAAAAAAATACATTATTAGATGATAAAAATAATTTATGTTTAATTAATTATGAAGAAAAATTAAATGAAGCAGTAAGCAAATCAAAACAAATGAATGATATAACAACTAGTAAAAATTATGACATGAATGACAATAATAGTAAAAATAAAATTAATAATATAAATAGTATTAAAAATATATGTAATGATAATATTAATAATGAGAAAAACATAAAAAAATTATGTTTACGATTCATATATGATGAAAGTGAAAAAATTAATTTAACGAATTTAAAAAAAAAAAAAGAATTAATTCATGATAAAGATAAATTAAAAAAAAATATTTCTAACAGTAAATATGCGAACGTAGAAAGTTTTAGAATAAGTAGAATTGGGAATATAAATAAAATGAATAATTTAAATGTAGAAGAGGAAAAACCAAAAAAAAAAAAGAAAAAAAATAGTGTTATAATTAAGTTCTTTAACAATTTTCATCCAGCTTTAATTCGTCTTCATAATCGCAAACTTTTCAGAAAATATTTTTATAGTAAGTATTTTTATGATTATATATATGATGCATATTTTCATAAATATATTCATATAAATATATATAAATATATATATATTTTTACATATAGATGTTTATAGAAGTGAGAAATACACAGAAAAGGTCTTTAAAAAAAGAAAAATAATTAAGAATGATGATACACTGAATTCAATAGATGTACAAGAGAAAAAGGATATGCGATTAAAAAAATATAAAAAAATAAGAAATTTAAGAAATGTATGTTTAAAAAGATATAAGCATATATTTGAAAATGAAACTGATGCTGTATCTAATTATTTAAATAAATTATATCAAAATGATACTAAAAAAGAAGAAAATAATATGTTAGATATGATAGCAAATAACAGTGAGATTCATGTTGACGATTCGTTGTTTGTTAATTATAATTTATCTATTAGTAATAAGAAATTTTTAAAAAGGTATAATAAATTTATTACAAATAGTAATCAAATAACTCACGAAGAATATATAAAAAAGAATAACAAACAAAAAATAGAAGGATATAAAAAGAATGATATAATTAAATGGATATATCGATTCAGAAATAATTATAATATTTTTAATAATGAAAAAAATATGAAAATAATTGATAATGATATTAAAATGTTAAATAAGCATATGAATGAGTATTGTGGTGTAACTAGTGAAAAATTAAAAATAAGTTTTAAACATATTGCACTTATAGCATATTCTTGTAGAAATTTGTACTATTTTGATAAAAATTTGATCGATATTTTATTTTTCAATGTATTTAAAATTATAGATACTTTTTATATATCTCAAAAAAAAGGATATAATAAAAATAATCATTTAAATATCTCTAAGAAAGACAATTATCATTTGTTTATATTTGAAAACATATGGAAATATTTAACCATATGTTTACAAATGAATCATTTTGCTAGGAATATTTTAAAAATAGACAACAGATATAAAACTATTGAAAAATTAATTAAATTATATACACATTCATATTTTATATTTAATTTTAAAAATATGATTTACATTTTTAATTATTTGAATAGAATTTTATGGTTAAAAAATTCTAAATTATCTTTTGTTGAAAATTTTCTAATAAGTTACTTTGATATTTCTATTATTTTAGAGAGTTTTTTTATTTACAACAAGAATTTATTTTTGATAATGGATAACAATTATAAAAACCTCATGATTGCTGATCTAAAGAATTTTCATTACTTTATTTATTATATATCAAAACTTTATTTAATTTATTTAAACATTTTGATAAATAAAAAACAGTTGCCTTCTAGTGATTTAACAAATTGTATAAAGGAAGATGATTTCTATAAATATTTAACATGTATAAACTTTTATATTATATTTTCTCATTTATTCCATATAAAAATGAATGAAAAATTGATTGAAGATAAAAAATTACATGGTACTTCTATAAATTCTAATTCTATTAAAAATAAGGTATTTAAGATTAATTTTTTTTATAATAATATTATTGAAAAATGCGAAGTTAGTAATAATAATACAGAGGAAAATAATGATACACAATGTATATGGAACAATAAAGTAATAAATAAAGAAAATATTAATTTTTATAATATTTTAACCACATTTTTTAAATATATTAAATTTTTAAGAAATCATAAATTTTTAACTGACTCAGAAGATAGTATAAATTATTTATACCATATTATAAGATTTTATTATATTTTTAAAAAAATTTTTAGAAATAAAAATATAAATTATATTAATGAAAAAAATTATCAGGAAGTTTTTCCGTTATTTGTAATTCAAATATTAAATAAAAAACAAATAAAAGAAATTAATATAGACGAACTTTTTTTTTTTGACACAAGGAAATACAAATCAAAATTTTTTTTTTATCAAAATACATTAATTTATAACTATTTTTTATTTTATTTTTTAAAAAAAAAAATATAAAAAAAAATTTGTTTAGAAAATATTTAAATGTGTTAATGTATTATTTTATTTAAATATTAGATTAAATAATAAACTTTTATTTTTTATTTATTTATTTTTTTTAATTAAAATTTTAATTTTTACATCATTTTATTTTATTTTTTTTTATTTTATATTTGTTTTTTTTTTTTTTTTTTTTTT